GATTGCCGAGAGTCGGTCAAGAGAGAGGTCGACAGCCTGATTTAACTTAACTAATACTTTTCTCGACGTCGAAAGTCCGTCAAGAGAGAGGTCGACAGTTTGATTTGACTTAACTAATATTTTTCTTTTTCGAAAAGTCGGTCATGAGAGAGGTCGACAGCCTAGTTTGACTTAACTAATGCTTTTCTCTTTCAGTCTGAAGGCACCAGAATATTGAAGCACAACAGCCAAATTACTGGGACCAAGGCTGTGGTCCTGATCCTAGAGACGAACACAACTTTTGTAACCCAACCATATTTATTTGGTGTGTTTCTTTTAATACCAAAAAAAACCAAAAGGTTATCATGGAGCAAAAACTCATGGAGTCACGTCCCGAGGACACAATAGTCATATATTTTCCTAAATACAAATATAAATGGCCAAAAAGATTTTAAAAGTGGTTGCCCTCTACATCCTCTCCTTTTTGTCAGTAATCGGAAATTTTTTGAGAGGTTTTGTTTTCGTCAATGACTGGGTCTCCTTCGCACAGACTTAAGTAAAAAAATCACAAAACTTGGTTAAAGCTGTCTGTGATCACTCCCGTTAGATATAAAGAGGCCTCAACCTCAACCTCAACCTAAACCTCGACCCGACACAAGTGTCCTTCCCGTCCACCTTTCCTCCGCCGCTGCAGTTCGAATCCAAATGGCACCAATGCCGACGCTGGCAGCGTTCGATGGCCCTGTCTTGGTGGTCGGGCCGCAGTTCTGCGCTCCCCACGTCGTCGATCTCACCGTTACCAAGAAGGCCCTCAGCTTGACGGGCAACGACTTCACCGTGACGGACGTCAACGGCAACGTGGTGCTTAAGACGAAGGGCGTCTTCTTCAGCCTCCGCAATCGGCGCGTCCTCCTTGACGCCGCCGGAAATCCCCTCCTCACCCTGCAACAGAAGGTCAAACCTTTTACTCTTTCTTCCCAGCAACACTGGTATGCGGTCGCAATTCTTCTGTGGCTGCTCGACAAGCGCCATCGATAGATTTGAAGTTTCGCTGCATGCTGTAGAAATCAGCTTTTATTTGTTGTTGTGATTCACTACTTGTGGACTAGTGCTTCGGAAAGCAAAGCGGTGGTGATGATAATTACTATGATGGCCTCTCAGATTTTGACTCTGCACGGAAAATGCCGAGTGTTCAGAGGAGAGAGCACAGATTCGAAAGACCTGCTGTACAGCGTCAAGATGTCCAGCCTGCTGCAATTTTTTAAGACCAAGTTACATGTGATCATGGCTTCCAACACCAACGAGGACGCGTGTGATTTCAAGATCAAGGGGAGATACTTTCGGAGGTCATGCACCGTTCATCGCGGGGAATCCAACTCCATCGTAGCCGAAGTAAGAAAAAAAAAAAAATATATATATATATATATATATATATATATATATACATTTAATTCTCATCTATATTATTAGTTTTATTATCATTATTATTTTGTTTTCTTGACTGGTGCTATGTATTCTCATCATCCAATTGATGATGATGTATATTGATTTGATCTTACTGTAGATGAGGCGTAAAATTACTGTGAAGAACCTGTTACTTGGAAAGGATACGTTCAGTGTGACCGTGTATCCGAACGTGGATTACGCCTTCGTTGCATCGCTTATCGTCATTTTTGACAAAATAAACAAAGATAGGTCTCGGCGTCAAAAACCTCATACGGTGGCGTCTTTTGGTATGTTATCGTAAGATTCCTATCTTTTTTTTATTTATCTTTTGATAAAAATAAATAAAAATAAAAATAAAAATAGATTGTGTGGTGTATTTTGGTACGGGCATGTATAATTAATTCTCAGATGACTGTAATATATTTTCTCTGTTATGAGCACATATAGAATATCGTCTCATATGCTTTGTATTATCTTCTTAATAATGTTACTAGCGATCCAATAGGAGAGTACATCTCTTATCTGATGCTGATTTACCTGCTGCCATCCGATCCTCCTTCGAGCGTGAAATCTTCTTCATCGGTAAATAATAAATAGCAGCTACATCAAATCAACTTTGCCATGGTAACCTCGCAAGTAAAGTCGATAGAACGAGTTCTTACAGTTCGGTCGTCGGGATGTTACCTGTTTGTGCCATGTAGCTCCTGGATAGATCGCCAGCAGGACCAGATTCATGAACCTACTACAGGCTTCTTCCTATCGTCGTCCTCATCCAAATCTCCAACATGCCGTAATCAAACAACTACATGATGATGAATGATGATCCTAATCCAAGGGGTCTACGATTAATCTACCTCCCGTAAATCACACGCCACCAAATTAATAGAAATCATAATAAAGATAAATATAGAATGATAGCTTTATTATATATATATATATATATGCTCTAATCCTCAATTAATGATTTAAGAATTAATCATCATTTTTTCTCTTTCTCAAATCTATTTAAATATATATTATCTTAATAAATAAAATCATCTTTTTTCGTAATAGATTCTTCGTAGCATTGCATGAAAGTTTCTCTCATCTCAAGCAATACTTCCTATTCTTCAGTATCCGACGATAGCAATCTCTCTCCGTTGATCGGACATAGTGATTAGTCTCTAAGATGCATTTTGCCTGACGATCTTCTTGGCAATCTTCTTCACACACCATTCTATCGAGGTAAACACATGCTAATCTCCTCAGCACCGCTTCCCTTAGGTTTTCTTGTTCTTTGCACCTTTGCATACTTCCTCCGATCTAACCCTTCATGATCAACACCTTGCTCTTCGTTGCCAATCAATATATCGTCATATACATTTCTTCTCTAATATTTGTAAACTCCACCCGTACACATGCAATGTGTACACTACTATCACAATCCCACACCAGCACTTCCACTTCTTCCTCAGCAAGCAGCTCTTCATTGACTCATCATCCCACCGCAGGCGACCACCCTTACTCCCATTGCACGCAACCACTACTCTAGGATATTATTACCTTCCATCGTTCTCTCACCATAAGCAACCTCTTGATTGCTTCCTTCTCCGGCAGGCTCCCTCTCACACAACATCAACGACAATGATAAATCTGATCTGACAAGCCACTTTCTCATGTTACAAGTAGATCTAAGTGCTCTAAAGTGTCATCTTCTCCCACCCTTCCTCGTGCCATCTCCTTCAACACTCCAATGATTATTCCTTCATGAAATATAGCAACTTCGATCCCTTTAAACTCTTTAAAATGTGACAACTATATATCCTAGCGAGTTTAATTCACCGACCTTCTATTCATAAATGATCTACTAAGCTATGTCGATGACTCCCTTAATTATCCATCCAAAAATATTTAAATATTAAAAAAATTAACCTTAATAGTAAATCATAATCATAAATTATGAGTACATTAAGACCATCTTATTCTTAAGTCGTTAAAGTCTTAATTATTTATGGACTATGTTTGTAAACTATAAAAAGTTATTTATGGACTTCATCAAACTCTAAGAGCCTAATATACTAAACTTAACTTATTTTTTATATCAATCGGCTTTGTTAACTCCAAATCTGACGTTTCTTTATTCTTATAATAACAAAAGGAATGTAGTATATATCTATTAGTTTATAATAACAAAAGGAATGTAGTATATATCTATTAGTTTATGTGGATGATATTATCATCAGTAATAATTTCATTGAGATTAAGTAATTAATAAATTGATTAGCCATCGAAGACATAAACTTTAAGTTAATTTTTGAGAGTAGAAGTACACATAAACTTTAATCATAACCGAAGTACACATAAACTTTAATCATAACCAAAGGACATTCGAGATCTAATATAAAAAATAAATATACATAATGTCAAAAAAGTTGTCATCCTAGTCATCTCTATTGGGTCACTCAAATTATATAATGGTAGCCCTATTACAGATTCTATACAATACCGACAAGTACTTAGTTCATTGCAGTATTTATTTTTTTAATGTCCAAACATTTTATTTGTAGTTAACAAATTATCACAATTCATGTATCGACCCTCCACTGTATATTGGTCGACACTAAAACATATCCTACGATATCTTAAAGGGATTTTCAATTATGGATTTCTTCTTCGTAAATACTTATAATTTCATCTCTATGCCTTCACCGATACTAATTAGATAGGTAATATTGATAAAACATTTATGCCAACCTATATTATCTTTCTTGGAGTTAATATGATAGTCAAAATTTCAAGAAACATAACACGACACAAGATTAGGAAACGACAAACGACCCCTTTTCTCATATATGAAACCAATCCAAACCAAATTGACCAATGAATTTTACTCCCGGGAATCCCAGAATTTTAATTGTTTCTGCTATACAACACAATATTTCTTTGAACGTTTTATACCAACTAGTAGTTCTAATCAAGGTTCGTAATACCGTATCGTATCGGTATTTTGACCTGGGCTCGGTACCAGTACGGTACGGTATACCGAGCGGTACACCCAGGTGTACCGAGTGATACACTCAAATGTGCCGAGTATTGTAGCACTGCTACAGTGCTACAGTGCAGTGCTACAGTGCTACTACTATAACACTACAGTGCACTCGGACCGGTAACAGACGATCCGCGTACCAGCAACTTATCAGACCGATACGTACCGCCCATACCGGACGGTACAATTCGGTACTGTAGACCCTGGTTCTAATTCTCTCTGGTAGTTGTCGATAAGCCTCGTTTGGTAATAAACAGCAGAGATCACATATTTGCCCAAGGATTTTGTGTCCCCTACAACATCTCCACCTCGTGGTTGATTCTATTTATTTTCGCATAAAGCACTGAATGAAAATGGCCCCGTCATCAGTAGTGACTAATGGCTGACTGTTAGGGAGGGAGGGCCTGTACTAAAAAGATATAACTAATCTACTCAAAAAAGACACCTAATGACTTGGAAGTTGAAATATGAGCCCAAGAATGCGTTTGGCCCATGGACATCAAGTCGCATTTACTCTGGCTGTATACAGTGCGAGATGAGCTCAGGAAAAATGTATATGTGGCACGCATGCATGCATCATAGATTGGTTCAGGGTTATGAAATTGGGTCCACGTCGGGCAGAGGGTGGATGGGTTCTGCTGGAGTCAACCCTAAGTTGACCCACGAATGGGTGACATGCGTCCTGCATAAGCCTTGTGATCTTAAGCTCCCTCGAGACCCATTCTAAGCAACACCTAGTGGATTTATCAGGTTGGGATTGAACAAAACCCAAGTTACAGCCATGCTTCCTTCACAAGTCGGATCAGCCCTTTTCTAAGACTATCTTACTTACTTGGGATACTTATTAATAATCTGGCATTACACACACACACACTGTCTTTGCCATAGTAAAAGAGTTTCTTATTTGTTGCACATCTTCGAAGCCATAATAACAGAAAACTTTTGTGTCATCTGCTATCATTTTCTTATTACTGTTTTCTAAACCTCTCTTTTGCTCCGATCGTCTTCTGCTCCCTTAACTTTCCGCGCACTTCTTAACAGCTTGCACCACTACTTGCCTCACCATCTGAGCATCCACGCTTTCATTTTGCGGCTGCGAGGCAAAGGAGAATGAATGAATGCATGCTCGAGTAGAAATCAAATCAGTTGTCTAAATTATGAGTATATACCTTTCATCGAGTATATGCGACTTAATACATCCGTGTGTTTAGCATGGTATTATTATTCATACTGCTCCACTCGTTTATACACATTTGTGTTAATGTCCCATCGTGAGTAAATTAAATTGATCTGTGCATACCTTGTGGCACTGCATTGGAGTTTCTTCTCTATACGTATGAATGAATGCATGGCTTTGAAGTGCTGTGTTTTAAGACGAAACATATCAGTGCTGCAAACTATTATGATAGAGCTTGTTTTGTTGATGTCGTCCTTTGCGAGCCAAAGTCGAAGCATTATTGATTCACGTTGATATGGACAATCATGGCCACCTACTACTATTATTACCAGCAGGAGACTTGTCGTAGTATATCTATCTTGCATTACCGGATTCATGAGAAATGTTGCACACGTGTGTAGATTATATATATATATATAT